TGAGAGTCGAATATTTCTTCGATAGTAGTCCAACGATAAAAAGTCAGACAAAAACGGAGTTCAGATGAAGGAGTTATGAATTTTGAACGGAGTTTTCCTGTCCCGGCCTACTAAAGATAATATATAAGTAATATACTTATAATATATTAAAAATAAAGTAAAAATTAGATAATGGAGTCTGAACGAGAGTTGTAGAGCATAATCTCACCTACGTGTCGATATAAAGAACGTCGAAAACGGAGTTCGTATGCGAAAATTATGAATTTCTGAAGTTCGAGGCGTGAAACCCCAAAACTATCAGAGACCACGACGTGGCAAGGGCCAGTTTTGCCCTATAAATAGATTTGAAGGGCCAGTCGAGTTTGGTTGCTCATGCTCTCATCTCTCACCCATATTACCTCGATTTACGTGCAAAGAAGTACCCCCGAAGCCCCGGTATCAACCCCGAGACTCGAAGCAAGTCCCGAAGCCCGAAGATCCCGAGGAGAAAAGAGTTTTTGAGCCGAAGCTCTGCCCGCGAGAAACCCGATGTGTGAAGTGATCCCGGTGTCACCGAAGAATACTACTTCTACAAGCCGTAGTGTTTTCCGATCATCTTTTGATCAAGTGAGTGTGTGGTCACTTTCTTCTAACACGTAAATATTAAGTATTTGCTATGAAATACGTGCTATGTGTATAATATAAAGTTGTTATATGTGTGAGTGTATAGTCCCTTTCATAAACACAATAATAATACAAGTATTATTTGAATGTATTAAGTATATCGTTGTTTATATGTGTAAGTGTGTGGTTACTTTCTTCTAACACATAAGTATGAAGTATTTGCGATGAAATACGTATTATTTGTTTATATATTGTTGTTTATTTGAGATGTTGGTGGAATGGATGAACTATATAGGTTTTAATGAGTTAAACTGTATATGTATTTTATAACTACAAATATGTTGGGTAGTACATGGGTAGATGAGATCAGTGAGTATGGGTCAGATCAAGATGTTAGTTTTAGATCCGTGAGTAGGGATCAGATCAAGAGGCTATTTTTAGATCCGTGAGTATAGACTAGACCAAGAGTTTAGTTTTAGATCTGGGAGTATGGATCAAGTAAAGAGATAAACTTGCTATTAGTCCAGGAGTATGGATTAAGACTAAGTTAATTGTACCTAGTCCGAGAGTATGGATTGGGCACAGTTATAGATCCGGAGTATGGATCAAATCAGGATTAAGGTATAGTTAATTTTCCCTATTCTGGGAGTATGGATTGGGTACAATTATTGATCCGGGAGTATGGATCAGATCAGGGGAAAAGGTTAGTTTTAGATCCGTGAGTATGGATCGGGTGAAAAGGTTAGTTTTAGATCCGTGAGTAGGGATCAGGTAAAAAGGAAAATTTTAGATATGAGAGTTTAGATCTTGTCGTTGTGAGGATCGATGGGGTGGGATAAGAGTTGCCTTTATATGGTGAAATTGTACAAGTTTGAATGTTCTATATTTATAAATATATGATATAACATTGTGGGATGAAAACCCTATATGCTCATCAGGTTCCCAAGCCTGACCTACTCAGTTTACTTTGTATCACAGGTATCAATACGAAGACATATTTCACTGAGAGATTTAAAGGAGATGTAAATCATTAGTGTAAATAAATATAATTTCTGTTTATGCTTATGTGTCTGTATCGGAACATGACATCCCAAGATGTGTTATATAATTAAAATACATTTCTTTAGAGGAATGTTTTGATAAATTCTTATCATATTTTGTTTTGGGAGCAAATTCCGCAACTGTTTTCTTTAAAAGATTACTCTGATTTTAAAAACAAAGCATAAACAAATCGGTCTTTTCTGGCTGTGAAATTGGGGATGTCACATCATATGTGATAGGTGGAGGCTAGATCAGTGATTCGTGTACAAGGTTTATTTGATTGCTTGCTTACGAGGTGAGTCTTCTCACTATACTTACCTAGAGTGGTAATCTTTGTGTGACCGGAGGGTCTTATGTGCTTATATTAAGTATTTTTATATTATGCATTTTTGTCTTTGTGATATATGTTATATTATTTTGTGCATTTTGAGATCGGATTGGAGGGTCCAACCCGAGTTGTGAGACCGGAGGGTCCTCACTAAGATACAGGACTGGAGGGTCCAACCGGAGCTGTGAGACCTGAGGGTCCTCATTGAGACACATGATCGGAGGGTCCACACCGAGTCGTGAGACTGGAGGGTCCTCACCGAGACGCATGACTGGAGGGTCCATGCCAAGCTATAGCCATGAGAGACTTATTATTTGTGTATGTGGTATTTTTGGGGAACTCACTAAACTTCGTGCTTACCGTGTTATGTGATATGTGTTTCAAGTACTTCTCAAGATTGCAGGAAGGCGGCGGCTTGATTGTACACACAAGACGGAGATATGTTTTTAGGATCCTAGATTGTGTTTTAAACAATTTATGAGCACGTGCTTTTGATAAATTGTCATTTTGGAGATTTGTGAAATGTGTTATGAGGATTATGTGATTTTAAAAATGAAAATTTTGTTTGAAAATTTACAGTGTTACATGTTACACTTTCCAGATTATCAGAGCTCCCACTGCTTCCTAGACATCTTCCTATCCTTTGACCAGTGATAGGTCTTGGTTGATTCCAGGATCTTCCCACTAAATAAACTAAAGTAGGATTGTAAACACAAGAATGAACAGAACCCGACTTCCCAAACTTAGGCGGATTGCCAATCTTCACAAAACTGACTTTCTTCTGTCTGCCAATGGAACATGGCTTAGAAGCATTTGTCATAATCTTTGGATCTGACATTCTCCATTTGGATACAAGCTTCCTCACTCATATGAAACAAAAATCTTTGTTAACATAGAGTGGATATCCCAACTCATTTAACAACGTGTGCTCCATCTTCAGAAAAAATCCACCATATACAATGTACCTTGTTTCTGACCCTTAGCAACAATCAAGTTTTCCTTCTTCACTTTCCACTTGTGATCACCAAACATAACATGATGGCCTTCATTATCAAGCTGCTCAACATATATCAACATGCTCTTTAGGTCTAGAATGAACTTGACAATTTTTGAAGTCCAATATGTACCTAGGGTCGTCTTGAGAACCACATCTTCGACACACTTGATACTTAGACACTTGTTATCTGCCAGTCTAGCCTTCCCTTTTCAATGCTTGAAATTCTGCTTTACATTTCTGGAATGACTAACATGAAATAACGCACCAAAATCCAAGACCCGTGTTCCATTGAGTTTTCAACAGAACAAATGAGCGCGTCATCCTCAAATTCTGCTACCATATTCATCTCTTTTTGGCCTTTATCTGCAATGAACATTAGACACTGACTTTTGACATGACCACTCTCTTTGCAGTTCCAATAGGTAACATCCCCCATGTTGTTTTGTCCACCTCTTGTTCTCAACTTTGACCTTCCACTACCTCCAACCCCTCTGTTGGATTCCTTGTACTCAGAAGACTATTGGAAGCTTCTTTAGCATTTCGCATGTATACATTCTCACCAAGGATTAAATCACGAATGTCATGTTGAGTTGCTAACCGTTGTCACTATACCAAACCAACTATAAGGCAAAGATGACAAAAGTAGTAATGTCATGATTTCATCTTCAAATTTAATCTCAACCGACATCAACATTGATAGGATTGAATTAAATTCATTAACATGATCAATCACTAAGCCACCCTCATTCATCTTCAAATTTATTAATTGCCGAATCAAATGAACCTTATTTTTTGTTGAGGGTTTTTCATACATGTTAGATATCACCTTGATTAACCCACGAGTAGTCTTTACATTGGCAATGTTGTATGCTACATTCTTTGCCAAGGATAATCTCATCACACCAAGTGCCTACCGATCTAACAGTTCCCAATCTTCCTGCTTCATGTCTTCAGGTTTACTTTCAGACAATGGTTCATTTAACTTCTTTTGGTAGATGTAGTATTCGATTTGCATTTTCCAGAAACCGAAATCTTGACCATTGAATTTTTTGATCTTAACTCTCCCATCTTCAATCATAGCTCTAATACCAGTTTGTTGGGATAACAATAAAACAATTTGTTGGGATAACAATAAAACAAGTTAAGCACTTCAAACAAATGTCAAACAAACTCCGTTGAAACTTGTGAAATAAAACTTCAGAAAAAATACATAGATCAACTGTGTGACATATGAGCGATGAAGTGTAGTGCAAGGTTGTGGATCAAATGATTGTTGCTAGACTACGGAAGAAACTTTGCGATAAATATCAGAATAACTCTCTCACAAGTCGGTTGTATCAAAAGCAATGTTTGTATACCATTTGAATGATAAACAAGTAAAAGATAATCTAGGGAATTTTAACCGTATTGTTTATGATTTAGAAGGGGTCGAGTTTAAAACTGAAGATGCAGATCAACCCCTTATTTTGTTGTGTTCTCTACCGAATTCATATGAGAATCTCATTAATACCATTTCGTATGGTAGAACAATTATTGTCAATGATGTGAAGGATGTCATTTTGTTTAAGGAACTAAAACATAAGCTCGCTTGTAGCAAAGATGGTTCTAGTTTGGTTTCAGGTGTGGTTGTAGGCAGGAAAAGAACACAAGATGAAGAGGGTGGAAACAAGGGGAGTCATGTTCCAAACCTAAAGCTTCATCCAAGGTTAAAAGCTACCTAATCTAAAATGATCTAAAAAACAAGGGCATACTATAACTTGCCCACATAATTTATTCGTTTCTTTCAAGGAATGGAATGGTAAGGACCTTTTAAACCCATTCACGAAAATTACCTGGCAACGGCATACAATGACACACTACTGATAAATTCTATCCTCATAGAACTTCTGGTTTCTTTTTATTTTTCAAATTTTCTGCTTCATAAGTATATTCTTCCCACATCACACTCCACATGTACACTAAATACTCCCAAAGAACACAAAATAAAAAATAAAAAATAAAAAAACATATTTTATGGTAGAGGGACCCGTTTTAAGCCACTCTTTCATCTTCAACCGAATAGTATATTCTACACCATTTGAACCATTCACGCTGTTCACCAACCAAACTGTACAAATGTATCATCTCCAACCCCTTTCGTATGTGGGGTCATGGCCCAGGGGTATAATCGTAATATACTAAGCTGCATTATAAGCTTATCTACTTTACGGACCTTACACCAATATTTTTTACACGAAAACGATACTGAGGTTGAGAATCTTCATCATCATCATCATCTTCATCCTCTTCACTACTATCATCTGCAACTTTATCCCATCTTGAATAATCAAGACGCGAATGCCCTTTCGGCCTTGGAATTTCCTCTTTCAGACTTTGCGTTTGAGGGGGCGTAATGGTAATTTCCACATTTTCAAGATTGCTTACCGCAGTATCGCGCTCATGTCCCTTTGTGTCATCAATATCGTTTTCTGCTACTTCTACTGAAGTCATTTCTTCTTCTTCTTCTTCTTCTTCTTCTTCTTCTTCTTCTTCTAGCTCGGGTATTGGAGCAAGAGACTTTCCTTGACCAAAAACATACAAAAATTTAATACATTTTTAACCCTTTTCTTTAAAACAAAGTTTCTTAAATTTACACATTTTTTTATCTGTTAACAATGAAATGTAGGTCAAAATAAAGAAAATCACAAAGTACTTTCATCAATTTAGCCATTATAATTTTTTGATCATTTAAAGAAACCATTTTTCCTGGTTAGCCGTTTTTAAAAAAAAAAGTTAAAATACGGAAAATAGCATTGCAATCTAACTGTTGTTACCAATATAAGCAAATTACACAAAATAGTAATGTGCTTACATTTGTTTACAATAATAGCAACATAATTTCATTTCTTTGCAAATAATAAAACCATATAGATGAAACTAGTAAAGTGCTTATAAGTGCTGGTTTACTTATTTCTATTAGACGTAATGAAATTTGTAAGGTGTTATTATGGATAAAAAAAATGTATGTTGTTAACTTGTTATAATAATAATCATAAGTAATAAATAAAATACATTTTATACGTTTCAAATTACAATATTACATATTGCTATTATTGGTAAAAAAAAAAGTTACGTATGTTGCCATTATGAGAAAAAAAATGTAAGTACTTTGCTAATATGGGTAAAATTTAAAGTACGTTGCTTATATAGTTATATTGGTAGAAATATTAAAGTATGCTGCTACTTTCACCAATTTCTTGATTTAGCCACCGAACTATTATTATTTATGATCATTATAATAATAATTCAGTGGCTAAATCAATAAATAACAACAATTCAGTAGCTAGCATATGTTTTTTCTGTATTTTTTCCTAATATAAAATCCGGGTAATAGAGAAAAATGGTTTCTTTAAACTGCCAAAAGAAAAATACAATGGTTTAATCACTACATAACATAGTTAATTGCCTAAGTTGATAAAAATGGTGAATGTACAAACACTTTTTGGCATTCTGCCCTAAAATATAGAGCACAAATAGACCCGTTTAAGATAAATCTGCAAAATTTCTACCTACAAAATTCTTTAAAAAAAAAAAAAAAAAACTGTGAAAATGATCAAGAAATGTTGTATCGAGGGAGTACCAATTGTGTCTTTAAGCGAGCTTCAAGATTTTGATATACTTCTGATGAAGGATTTAACTCAATCAGCCTGTTTACATCAAAGAGTGCAGAGTGGTACTCTTTAAGGGTGACCAATGTTTGAGCTCTCAACATTAAGGCTCCTGTATGCTCATGATCAAGCTCAAGCACTGAAGTACATTCCTCTGCTGCCTAAATTGATAACCAAAACTTTAATCAACAATCAATAGTTAACAAACAATCGATGATAATTCATCAATTCGCTCAAAATTTTGATAGATTGTGTCTTGGAACTCAAATTAACACTGGAGAAAAGGTAAACTAGCTTTTGATACTAGATATTGCGTACTAAAAAGAAGATGATAAAAGTACCTTTTTAAAGTGGTGGAGTTTGAGAAAACAGGCAGCTCGATTGCTATGAAGGGCGATCTTCTGAGGGTTTGTCTTGGCAATCGAAAGAGCTTCTGTGTAAAATTCAAGCGCTTCTTCATAGTTACCATCTCTGTACATCTGATGCGCTCTTTCTATCTTGTTCATTGTTTCTTGCTTTCTGTCACCTAGTTCTTCGATCCCCTTGTATGTCTCTATCGATTGGAAATATCATGTAATCAACAAGCGGATCCCATAAGTTCATGAAAGTTGGAAAACTTATCACCTATCAAAATCAAAGAGAGGTTGATCCGTACTGAATTGAATTGAACTGACGAGGAATTGGAGACGTGATGGGATAAAGAAGGTAAACGTGGTGAAGACAGAAAGAATAAGGTACAGGGACAGAGGAAGAATTGAGTATGAAATTTGCTTAGGGGAGGACGTTAATGGCGGCCATCGTCTTGATTTGGCACTTATTTGAGGAAATTTCTCAACTACATCAACCCTAAATTGCCCCCTGTCGTTTGCGTGTTTGTTCTTACCGATTCAAAAATTCACGTTTCAAATGGTTTTTAAATGGTTAATGAGCAAAACGACGTATTTGTTGAATTATGTAACGAGATGATTTTTTTGATAATTTATTATGAAAACTATTAATTTTTTTTTTAATTTTTTAATTTTAATTTTAACTTTTATTTGTTTTTAATTTTAATTTTTTTATAAGTTAGTAAAATAGTCATTATGCCAGCAAAAAAATTATTTAATTATATAGAAAATATGAATTGATATATTTTATTATTAATCCTTCAAATATTACTATTACTTATTTTTTGTGATATTAAAAAAATAAAACCTAAAAAAATTCAATATATTATATTAACATATGAAAATTTCTCTGTTTTATATTTTTTTTCATTAAAATCATTTATTTCATGCTCTTATTTAAATTAATACTTTGTGGCTATTTTTTGTTTTATTTTTATTTTTGTTTTTGTTTTTGTTTTTGTTTTTTTTTTTTTTTTTTTTTTTGAGATCATGTTATTATAAAAAAGAAAAATGGTATGTTGTATGGTCTAAGAAGCTCATGCCAAGTTGTTCCAATACCAATACCAAAATGGATGGGTCAATCTCATAACAATAATAATAATTTAAGTGTGTCAATAATTTTAAAGCATTATACAAATCGTCAATAACGTATATGTCAAAACGCATGTTTAGTCTATATGTATTTTTTTAAGATGAACTCGGACCATCCTCTATATCAATAAAAGTTGCATACTTCATCCCTCATTAGTTTAACTTTACACGTTCCATCCATTTTGAGACATGAAAGGGATATAATGCCTTTTTCATTTAATTTTATATCTTAATTATTAAAAAGTATTTTATTTATTTTTCTATATTGTTGAAGAATACTTGACCACTACCACCATCGGTAATGTAATCTACACCATTACTGGAAAATGGAGCACCACCGCTACCCTCAACTCATCCCACCCACACCGTGGTTCAAAGCTCACCCGTTCCACTGAAAATAACCACCAACCACCACCTTAATCAATCTTTCATTCACATTTTGTAAAACTCTGGCGACTTCCACAACAACATCATCAGAAGTCTGACTAACCTCCAGTTTGATCTTCTCAAGCTTTTCAAGCATTTGTTTTGTTTTTGTTATTTCCTCCAATGAAGGATCCACACAAGAGTGCAGATCTAAAGGGTAGGAAAAGGTTGGGGAGGAGTGCAGATTCGTTACCCTCGAGCCGGAGTGTAGATCCACTACCCTCTCGTCGGAAAAACGAGAGGCAGTAATGGTTTGTTGCAACGATGGTAATGTGTAGGTACATATCTCCTTGGAGCTTTCTTTACCATCACTAACTGTGGGATTTGTAATTTCATCGGAGAAGGTGATTCCCAAATCTGCACTTCGTTCGACTATCGCCACCTGTTAGTCGCCCAACCAATATACATCTATGCAGAAACCTTAGAGCATTTCCAACCCACTCCCATTTTCCATTTTTTCTCATATTTTCCCCCCATTTCTCTCTAACCCTAACCCATTTATTCCCCAATTTTGGAGGAAGTGAATATTATAACACTAAATATGATGTTATACTATTTATTTATTCCAAAATGGAGATGAACTTTTAGTTGTCGATCTTAGTCCCTCTTTTATATATTTATACATTATTACTTTATTTTTATCTACTAATTATAATTTAAATGTATTATTTAATACTTATAATATTGTAATATATATTAAATTATATTAATTAATTATAAATATAAAGTATATTTTTTGTTTATCAAATTCATATGAAAATTTAAATACATATTGAAATTTTAAAATACAATAACATTTTACAAAAGCTTATAATTAGGTGTTATAAATATAATCTTATTTATTTAATAGTATTGTAATAAAAAAATATAGATTATACATTTGTTAAAAACCAAATTAGTAGAAAGGGTATTATTGACAATCTATATAAGTTGGAAAAATAGAATATACTGGGAATATACTTTTGGGGGGTAAAGATAGGGTAAAAATAAAGTGGAGTTGGAGGCGGTGGTTTCCGGTGTCCGAGTTTGAGTTTCAGATCTAAATACATATCTAAATGAGTTAGAGATTCAGAAAGGGTTTGATTTTTCATATCTGAATGCAGGTTTTGGGTTTAATATTTGATGTTTGATAATCACAAAGGGTTCATCAATGGTGGAGATTGCTTGTAATTGTTGGTGGTTTCTGGAAAGTTGCTTGAGCAGGATGATGGTGATATGAAGGAGGGGAAACAAACGATTTTTGGTTGGTTAGTTTTGCCAGATGAAAGGATGGGGACGGGTAGTTGTCGGGAGTGGGTGAAAACCGGAAGACAAAGAAGGAACTGGAGAAAAGGAAGGGGTAGGGATATTTATTTTCAACTTATTTTAATTTAAAAAATGATAAATTTATATAGAAAATTAAAGAAGAATTTTTTAAGGGCAAAATATTATTTTTATGTTTGGATGAATAAAGCATGCAAGAAAAAACAAATCCGAAGACGGTCCGAGTTAATTTTTAAAAATAAAAACTAAACATGCGGTTTGACACATGCTCGAGAAACAAATAATATAATTTACCCAAGTTTTTATTATAGATTTCACATGTAGAATTATTAGGCTCTCATGATATGGATCCGAGTTCATCTTAGTAGTTTTAATAAACATTTGAATAAAAACATGTTACTATATTATGATTTGAATGAAAATATATTTCTATAAAATGGTCATTAAGCATGTATTTAGGTAAGATTAAAATATAAAGTGGTTTTAATAGACAAAATATAACCAAATGTCTTTTTTTTTTTTTTTTTTTGAGCATTTAAAGACGATACTTTGTATTTTAGGGTTTCTTTAGAAAAACTAAACTTTAAAAGAGGTTCATCCACATTATTAGTTTTTAGCATGGGTGATTTTGTATTTTAATTTATAAATAATTAATATATTAAATATCTTAAATAATATTTGTTTTGTTTATCTAACCCTTTTTAATCAACTTAATCATTATAAACCGTGCATGAACCAGTTTTCATACAAGCAAATTGTAATTGCCAAATCTAATTATCAATAGTTATATTAAATAACTTCTGTATCCTGAAGGAACACTTTGGCTAATATAAAGTTATTAAAGGGCAAAGAGTGAAACATTTGGAATTTGACCGTTGGGAGAAAAATTCAAATACCCAAACGACGCTCCTGTTCTGTTCACCGTTAATCTCTCTCCTTAATCAATTCTCTCTCTCTCTCTCTCTCTCTCTCTCTCTCTCTCTAGAAACTGATTTAATGGCGGATGAGAGCAAAGACACTGCTATTACTACAGCGATAATGGAATCATCGTCAAAAACATTTCTCCACCCACTTCACGAAATCGCCATGACTCCAACCCACAAGCTTCTCTTAAAGCAATGGCTTAAAGAAGAAGAACTGATCTTGAACCGAATCGCTCTCAAAGAAACCCAGATCGATGCTGTTCGAAAGGAAATCACTCACATCTACTGTTTCTTCTTCCTGTTTCACTCGATCTCACTAATGCTCCTCTTCAGCAGCGCATCTTCTTCTACATCTGGATCCTGCAACCGATCATGGATCCCATCTCTCTGTTCTCTCCTCTGCTCCTTGGGATTAATCTGGGCCGTTCGTTACAAGACAGATACAGAATCGCATCTTGAGAAATTACTTGAGAGGGAGAAAGAAGATGGGAAGTTATTGGGGAAGTGTGTGGAGGAATTGAAGAAAAAAGGTTTGGAGTTTGATTTGTTGAAGGAAGTTGATGCACTTCGAAGGGCTAAAAGTTTGAGGGTTGAAGGTAAAGCTGTGAAGAAATGGTCAACGAGAGACTTTGTTACTCTGTTTTTCTTCACTGTTTCTTGTTTGGTTCTTGCTCTTACTAGGGTCATTCTCTGCAATTGATCCAAAATGGTGATAAGGGTTTTATTTTTTTTTATTACTTCAGTGGGATTTGGGTTCTTTTTCAGTAGATTGGGGATTACAGATGTTTGATTTTTGATGGTGGTGTTAACGGAAACTTTTGGTTTCTGGTTTGACATTGCATAATCATCTATGAATAGCAAATTACAAAGGATCAGATTCAGACACAGTAATAATAATAATATAATGTTTTGATTTCAGTTGCTTTCCAAGTTTGGTTTGGTTGATTTAGGATGAAGGTGTTTGGATGTTTGTTACTTCGTTTTTAAAGTGATTGATACGATTTTAGGCATCTTGTATACTTATAATCATTCGGTTAAAGTTATGGATGGGAAATATTTACTGGAACTCTAGAGGTGGTGATAAAATGGTTCTATCCGATGATTAAATAAGGACAAAAAACGGCTAATTCTTTAATTACCAATCAAAACGGCTACTTGTCAAACGTTTTTTTGTAGGGTATTTTTATAATTAATTATTAAATAATTGCTCAATTAATTTTTAGCATCATCAGTTTTGTGGCCACCGCAAGAAACTTGCTTACCACACCTCCTTTGATTTGTTTTGTGACCAATTAAAAAAAAAAGGTGGAGTAGCATCATCAGTTTTGTGGTATGATACATTTCACACCATGCTCTTGGGGCAAAACGTTGTGAGCGACTCACTAAGTACCAATAAACACTGTTTTTTTTACCGGTGGAACAAATCTCATTTCTTATCACAAAAAAGTTGTATCTATATATTATTTATATCATCACGACTATAACAATTACATCTTGGTTCAACCATCTTCCGATAAACAAATCATAAGTTTAAATCAAGGGACTTTACATATATACCATCAAATCATCAAGGCCATTATTGAACTTAAAACCACTCAAATACACGTGTGGAGTAATACCACCACTTGCTTCAATATCTCCCAAAATCACTGCTACCACACATAACATTGATGATCATCATGTTGGCAATGTTTGCGTGCATAAAACAACTATTATAACTATTTTCATTTCGTTTTCGTCAAATTTAGACATTTATTTATGTTGGAAATTATAGAGATAAACTTGAAAGTTGACAAGTTTCCTCTATTATACATTGGTGGGGGAAGAAACCTTTAGTGAGTTTATATATCATTTCTCTTGATAGGCCTTCAAAGGCTTAAGTGGATCAAAGGAATGGGCCAATCTCATGCGCGCGCCTAGCCTAGCACTAGCCAACGCCGCGAGTGCACGATTTAGGCGCACTTGTCACGACGCATCGGTCGTTGGGAGCTGATGAACTTTTATTTTGGCGAATTTCGGGTCAAGTCGGTTTGACCGATCTGGCCAAACGGTTGACTTCGTAGATATGGCAACAGAATATTATACCACTTCGTAGATATGACAACAAAATATTCTGGAAGGGTTAGAAAACGGCTAGCTTGGAGAGCAAGTCGTCGCCCTAGGGTTTCCAAGGGTCGACCCATGTGGGCCCCTTTTTTGCCTTCTAGGGTTTCGATGCCTATAAATACAGCTCCTTAGAAGTCATAGTTGATACTCACGAAAAAATGAAAGCTCTCTCATTCTCTCTGCAATTTCTTTCTGGTTTCTTAGTATTCACTTTGCGTTTATCATTTTCCATTGATGTTGGAAACTCGATAAATCTACATTAAATCATGGGGTTTTACTTTGTTGCTTACAGTCGATAGAAGCGAACTAAAAACATTTAAGGACAGGAGTTCGATTAGTGCAATTATTCCACAATCAAGATCCAAACTCAGCTGTCAACATGTTGGCTTTATATTATTGTACTGTTTTTACTTTCGTCCAATAACAAGACACTCTCCTTCTACCTTTCTTATAATCAAATATTCAGATCTAATCGAGAATGATCAATCTAGTTTTTGGACGAAACTTGGTAATCATATTAATAATAATTGGATCTATTATTCGCAACTAATCGACATATAATTCTCAATATTATTTTTCGGTTTCCTTGCGTGTATATTGGTTCTGATTAAACAACAATCTTAAAGGGTTTTATAATTTGTGTTTATAAATCAACAAACTAATGGACACCCAAATCCAACCTGCTAGTCTCCACTACATGAATCAAGAGTTTGCCAAGCTAGACCGATTCGATGGTCAGAACTACACCCGCTGGGCTGACAAGGTCACGTTCATGCTTTATGTATTGAAGCTCGCCTATGTTTTG